TCTCAGATATCAATAACCAGTCTCAGAAGTGTAACCCCTATCATTCGAAACCCTAAATCTTACTTCAATTTCTTTTAGGAGATTTAGACTTAAATTTCTCCTCATTTACTAGAAAGTTTTGGCTGGAAATCCTACCTGATTAATAATCACAAATGGTTGGAAATACAAAAAAACAGGCAGGGTGCATAGCAATATCTTTAAAGTTAGATAATTACTGAAAAGAATAAAAGTTGCTATTTTGGCTCTTATTCTAATAATTTTTAAAATGAAATTAATCTTTATTACAAAATAACTTAAAATTTTTCCTTTCAATCAACCAAACCCCACATATGAGGCCTGATACTTAAATCCACTCATAATCTAACCTATTTTACTAATTTAATGTTTAATTTCACCTTGCTTTTTTGGCAAAATTGAAACATATCTATTGGCGGTCCTTACACAGCTTTATTTTCTTCCCTTTAACATCCCTTCACCTCTCTTTGCATAGAACACAACACACACACACATTCATTTAAATGTGTGTGTGCATGTGCGCGTGAGGGTGTGTGTACGTGTGTGTATGTGTGTATTTGAGGTAGGAAAATAGATATTATCCTAGTCCTACTAAAATTCTATCTTTTAGGACTTATTTCAAATTAAATTCTTCCAGAAATCTTTTTTGACTCTTTCCTATTTCCTCTATTTTGTATAAATGAGGAGGATTTATATATTTTTAATATTGTATATTGTAATAATATAGTATTTGAAGGCAGTGATTTTCCTACACCTCCTACAGTATTAAGCAAGTTTTCTTATTCATATTTATATTTTTGCAGAAATCGGGAATCTAACTCAGAACCTCATGTGATAGTAAGTATGCTACCATTGAGCTACATCCCCAGTCCCTACTTTTAAAAATAGTTGGCATTTAATAAAGCTTTTTTAAATTATTATTATGTGAAAATAAAAAAATACATTTTTAGGACTGTGCAGAATTACTAAACAGTTTATAAAATTCACCTTTTCATAGTCTATAAACAACAAACAAAGTATAAACACAGAGGACATATAACTCAAAATCATAGTTGTAAGTTTTTAAGTCATTATCATCTTTCATGTGATAATTAACTTCCAATAGTTTGGCTCAGCTGTGTCCTACGATTTGCTCTTTATTTGTCATTAAGGTCTCACATATTATTTATTTTCATTGTATAGCATTTATGCAAGAAGGCAGCAATGTAAGCTCCCATGCCTGTGATCCTTCCCACAGATAATAGAAAATAAATTGCAATTAGATTTTGGTAATTGTATATAATTAACTCAAAATGAGCTGTTAATTACAAAAAATATGTTTTTCACTTTCTCATTATCTCATTTATTTAAGTTCCAAATTCTTAATGCCCCACTTGAGTAAGTTTAATATTTTAAACACATAATGTTTTTAATAGTAGACTAATTTAAATTTCCAAATAAACAAAATTTAGCTTAAAATTAAATTTTATCTAGGGAGTTGTCCTATTAAAGTCGAAGAGCTTCAAGGTAGATAGAAGGTCATTTTCATAACAGTTCTCTATTATATGTCCTAAAAGCAGCAGGCATTCTAGTTTGAATAATTCTACACAGGCTAATCAAGGCAGTATAGTAGTCTCTACTGATCCATCTCGACCTTTTCCTGGGTTAAGTGGAAACTACATTAGTTGTACAGCCAACTGAATAAAGGATACATTGAATTTCTGTCTTTACCTCTTTTAATCTCACATTAGATTAAATAATTTAAGAACTGTTGAGTGAGAATCTAGGCTTTCCAATGACTGCCAGACTTTTCAAGCAGTAGCCAGTTTCTTAACACTCTTAAATAACACTTTTGAAAGGTCTAAAGTTTTTTTTTCCAGAAGCATAGGAGGAGATAATTTTTTAAAGTTGTATATAATCTTATTTGATTTCTGTCATTATTTAAATGTATAGTTTACATGGTCAAATGTTGGAAACCTTGTACTGGAATGTTACTTTCAGGGCATTCACCACACCTATCAAGTACAGTGACAAAAATATTCATAAGTTGTAAGAGAATATAAATAAACTATTACAACCTTTTGGAAAATGAAAACAGCACAGTCTATAATAACTTACCATTTCCAATTCTATCAGTGTCTCCCTAGCAATTTGATTCTGTGGAATTTAAATAAAAATAAAAAAGGTTCTAGGACACAAAAATGTATGGATAGCCATGCTTACTATAATACTGTATTCTTCATTAACGAACATGTAATCATTTGGATGTTCAGCAATAGAAAACCTACTCAGTAACTTATGATGTATATATAAATCTTGGATTATGCACTTAAAATGAATAAAGTATTATTAGCTTTCTATTGTGACCATGAATCACAACAAATTAATAGGTTTAAATAACACATATTTATTATTTTAGGAAATAATAAGACCCAGAAGCCTGACATGGATCTTACTGAGCTACCTGGGTTAACATCTGTTAGTCAGAAGGGCCATGTTCTTTCCCAGAGGCCATGGAAGAGAAACATTTACTTAACTCATCTGGATTGTTAGCAGTGTTCATCTCCCTGAAGCTGGAGGACTGGGAACTCTACTTCTTTGCTGGTTGTCAGGTGGGAACTTTATTTTTAGTTTCCTACTTGAATGGATTGGCCTGTGATTTTTCTCCATCTTCACAGCTAGCAAAATACGGTTAATTACTTCTTTGCATCTTAACTCTACTCCTGGTCTGTATTTCAGACCTAACAAGGAAATATTCCCACCCCTCCCCACCCCCTTTTTGTCAGTTGTGGGGCTTGAACTCTGGGCTTGGCGCTGTCCCTGCGCTCTTCAGCTCAAGGCAGTGCTCTACTGCTTGAGCCACAGTGCCACTTCCGGTTTTCTAGTGGTTTATTGGAGATAAGAGTCTCATGGACTTTCCTGCCCCGGCTGGCTTTGAACGGTGATCTTCAGATCTCAGCCTCCTGAGTAGCTAGGATTAAAGGCGTGAGCCACCAGTGCCCGCCCAGCAAATTCCCCAATTTTTGGGGGGTGGGGTCCTGGTCCCTGGGCCTGTGTACTATCCCCAAAGGTAGTTTTTAGTTTTTTGCTCAAGAATAGAATCACAGCTCTACTTTCAGCTTTTTGGCAGTTAATTGGGTTATACAGACTTTCCTGCTAGGACTGGTTTTGAACATTAATCCTCAAACCTCAAGTCTCCTAAGTAGTTAGGATTACAGGCATGAGCCACTATTGCTAGCTAAGATTTCCCACTTTTAACAACTTCTGTGATTGGACAGGGCCTATTCAGAGAAGTCAGGAGAATCTACCTATCTCAGGTCCATTTTCTTGCTCATATATGCAAAGTTCTTTTCCCATGTAAGATAAAATATTCAGAATTTATAGGGATTAGAACTTGCACAAATTTTAGAAGAGAAATTATTCTGGTTAATTAAGTGCTATTATCTGAAAATCTGATAACCATCTTTCCTTTTTTTCTGTTTTTAAACACATTTCTCCTGAAATGTGCCATAATCATGTTTAGTGTGACTTGATTATTTTCTAGGTTTGCTACACAGCGATTTCATCCTGAAATGTTCCTATCCATAATCCTGGAATTTTTCATTCCTGTGTCATATTTCCCTTTCCCAGGTTGCATGTTATCCTCTTTTTGGTTTGTATGCCTTTATTATGTCGAAACATGTTTTCATTTATTCACAATAAGCATGATAAATCTAAAACTATTAGACACATAAAGAAAAACATGATTAAATGCAAAAGTTAATTAAAAGATAGAAACTGACAACCCACTATTAGAACAAGTAATTTAAGCAGCTATTATCATCATCTGATTAACATAAAGAAAAATATGTTTAATAGAAATAAAGTAGGAATCTTATCAAAGAAATAGATCTTATCAACAAGACCCAAAAGGAAATTCCAAAGCTAAAAAAAATAAATAAATCTGAAACTGAAAAAAAATCACTATAGAGCTTTAACACAGATTGAAAAAACAAACAAAACAATCAGGTAAGGGTAAACCAATAAGAAGTTGATCATAAAGACAAAAACCATTTTTAAAATTAGAGTATCACAGACCTATAATAAAATATCTATAGGCTTAATATAAATACATGTAATTAAAATACTAAAATAAGGAGAAAAATTAATTTGAAAATCTAATGATCTTAATTTTAAAAATTTCATAAAAAGAATTCTTAAACATTATTTGTGGGATACAAAGTTATTTGATTTGTATAATAAACAACTGGCAATGTGAACCAAAAATCTTAAATCTTTAGAAGCACTTTAAATAGAGACAGTTGCTAGTTTCTCACTCCTTATTGCTAGCTATTCATCAGGCTGAGATCTATAGTATAAACCCAGCCTGAGCAGAAAAATCTATGAGACTCTTATCCCTAATTAATTAGCAAAAAGGGAGAAGTGGATCTGTAGCTCAAGTGGTAAAGTGCCAGCCTTTTTAGTGAAAAAGCCAAACAAGAGCAAGAGGCCCTAAATTCTAGCCCCAGTATCAGCACACACACACAAAATAATTTTAAATGGACTTATACACACTAACTTTACTTGTAGGAAATACCAAGGACATAGGCATAAATAAAATAAAAAATAGAGAAATATTCTTCAAGGAGTAAGTTATAATCACAAAATTCTGTATTATTATAAATTATATTTTCAAAGTAAATGCAGTAACTGAATTACAGGTAACACATTTAAGTACTGAGATATAGTTGCCACATAATAAATATCTGCTCAATAAATGAGTTTTCATAAAGTACGTAATAAAAATATGATGTGGTGAGAAATAGACTATACTAGCAATATAATGAAATATAGAAATGGGCTCACAGGATTATTTTTGGGAGATAGGATTATAAATTTTACTTTTTACATTTTTCTACATTTTTCAAAAATTTAAGATGAGATTTATATAGTTAGAAAATAAGAATACCAAATATTCTAAAATGTATATGCCTAGTCTTCTCCCATCACCTAGGTCTCACATTTACCTTGGTGCAGAGTAACTCCCATTTACATCCAGATTGAGCTCTCTGGGTTTAGTAAACACTTTATCAGCATCCTTTCTGGGCTTAAATGCAGTTTGTGTTCTTAACCTGTAAGAATAAATACAGAGAATTTCTAATCACAAAGAGCCTGATGGACAGAAAGGTAAATTTTAGAAAACCATACTCTTCTATCTAGACCCAAGCAATTATTCCCAGATTTAAACTAAATCTGTAAAAAATGAATAGGTTGACTGTGTATACTTTGAGCTTAGCACATGTGAAGACTTAGGCTCAAATTCAAAGCATGTATGCATGTGCATGCACACACATGCAGATACACACACGTTAATTTCAAAATACACAAATAATTGTCTATAAGAATATAAAATCCCCCTGGGTGCTGTTGGTTCATGCCCATAATCCTAGCTACTCAGGAGGCCGAGATCTGAGGATCTGGGTTCAAAGCCAGCCCGGGCAGGAAAGACCCTGAGACTCCTATCACCAATAAATCATCAGAAAACTGGAAGTGGCACTGTAGCTCAAGTGGTAGAGCGCTTGCCTTGAGCTGAAGAGCTGAGGGACAGCGCCCAGGCCCAGAATTCAAGCCCCACGACCGACAAAAAAAAAAAAAAATCCCTTATTAGGACAGTGTGGGAGTTGGTTGAATACATGGTTATATAAAAAATAATACACTTTCTTTATTTGGAGAATGAGTTGGTTAGAATGTAATTTAAAAACTAAAAATTATAGATGCTTTAGATGCATTTTAAGTATCTTCTGCAGAAATTGAAGGTTTCTCTCTATTCATTACTATGCAAGTGTATTTTGGTTATTGTTAGATTACCATTTGTTATCACAACAAAATACTCCTAAGAACTTCAGATGGGAAGGATTAATTCTGACTCATGGTTTCAGAGGTCTTAGTCTCTGTTTGGCTGGCTCCACTGCTGTGGGTCTGAGGTAAGGCTAAAACATCATGGTGGAGAAAATCTGCTCATCACATAGCAGCCAGAAGGAAAAAGGAATCAAGGACAAGGTATACTTTCCAAAGTATTCTATACTGGCTTCTAGTTTCTATTATCTCCTGATGATTGGCTCATCTCCAAATTCAATACTTTAATAATTTTATGCTGTTCATTTGATGAATTCACTATAGAGTGAAAGTGTATATAATATAACCCTAGACAAGATTAGGGCATTCACTTGGATATTCTTCTCATAAAATTTTGTGCATCATAGGGGACTTAGTAAATGTTCACTAAAACAAGAAGACAAATTTATTTTCAAAACTATACTTTATATCAAACAATACAGTACTAATATTGTAAATATTAGTAACTCTGAGGTAGTTAGGTGGGAAGGAAACCAGACCTAAATTTTTTTAGTAGTTAATAAGAGTTTTAATTCTGTTGTATTGAATAAATAGGATCTAGATAGATAGAAAAGCAGAGTGAAGATATTTAAATCAGAGAAAAATGTTTTGAAATGTTCCTCATTTAATAAGTAATAAGAGTTATGAAGAGACAAATGTGCCTTGGAAAACTGTTAGGAGAAGTGGGGCAAGTGGGTAGATGTGATTACAGATTCTAAAAAGTTCTAGATACTAAGCTGAATACACATAACAGTAGAAAAATTTCATGAGTTTCTAAAATTCGGAAGTGGCACAATAAAGGCAATGTCTTAAGAGGATACATTTGAGAGACATATTCTTGACATATGATACTAATGTGCAGAAAGTGGAATTCTAGATAACTCATAAATGATAAAATGACATAAATCTAAAAACTGGGAAAGAAAATGTTTCACTTGTCAGTCTGGAAGTATGAACTGTGATACAGATTAATTAAATGGAGAAATGTAACTTCGAGTTTTATGTTGTAACAGCTAACAATGGTAGATGAATTTATTTCTGTGGTGTAAGGAATTCAGAGAATGAAAGATGAAGACCTTCCAATAAAAAGTTTTGAGCTAGACATAGTGAAGCAGGTCAGTAATCAAAGTACACTGGCAAGATTTCAAGATTGAGGTCAGCATGAGCTACATAGTAAATTCCGTCTCCAGAGGCCAAAAATGTTTGAGTTTTTGGTTGTGCATTTCATTTAATTTTTTCAAGTTATTGATTGAAGAAAATTTAATTTTAGGTCTAGAGCTATAACAGACAAATAGAATGGTAGAATTACAAAAATTGTAAAAGATGACAAAGGCACTTGAAAGTAGTCAGTTAACCAGTTCTACAGTTAGTTTTTTTTTTGTTTTTTTTTTGGGTCGGTCTTGGGGCTTGAACTCTGGGCCTGAGTGCTGTCCCTCCGCTCTTCAGCTCAAGGTGAGTGCTCTACCACTTGAGCTACAGCACCACTTCCGGTTTTCTGATGGTTTATTGGAGATAAGAGTTTCACGGACTTTCCTGCCTGGGATGGCTTTGAACCTCCATCTTCAGATCTCAGCCTCCTGAGTAGCTAGGATTACAGGCCTGAGCCACCAGCACCTGGCTACAGTTAGTATTATAGCTGGGCATTGTCTGATAGTATGCTTAAGAAGATTGAAAATGTCCCAATGTAAAACATTGAGGTTTTCCTAAAGCAAGGAAGTGAATAATGCCTTTTGCCCATAAAACTCATCTAAACAAGACTGTAAAAAAGTCGAGGAAGAGAAGTGCTTAGAGGATGTAAACAAATCATAGTTAGCGTAAAAAAGAAAATTAACAGTAAGAGATCTGGACCCAAAGAGGAGCTCCTTCCCTCTCAGGTGAGTAGTTAGCCAGATGGTATAAATTTTTACTTTAAATGTAACAAATTCCAAGGCCATTGACAAGATAACTGGAATTTTCCTCCTCACTACAGACTTGTATTGTGACCTTTCCTGTAACTATTCTTTGTAAAGTACTTTAATTCAATCTGCAAAAAGTCTAATTTAAAAAAAAATAGCAAGTTTATAGCTCTGAGTTCCTACATCAACAAATTGGTGAGATCTGAAACCAACGATTTACCTGAAGCTCCTTAAAAAAGAGCAATAAGCTGAACCCCAATCCAGTAGCGGGAAAGAAATAATTAAAATAAATCGGAATTAAATTAATTAGAGCCCATGAAAACCATAGAAAGAATCAACAAAACAAAGAGTTGGTTCTTCGAAAAAAATTAACAAATTGACATACGCTTAGTAAATCTTATTAGAAAAAGAAGAGAACACACCCAAAAAAGCAAAGTCAGAGATGAGAATGGAAACACCACAACAGAAACAACCAAGATTCAGAACATTATAAGGGAATACTTCTTAAACTTTTATGCTAATAAGTTTGAGAATCTGGAAGAAATGGACAAATATTGACATGTCCAAACTAAACCACAATAATTTAAACCAACTTAACAGACCCATATCAAGCACTGAAATAGAAACAGCAATAAGAGATGTCCCACCCAAGAAAAGCCCAGGACCTGGATTTATAGTTGAATTCTACAAGGACTTCAAAGCAGAATTTACACCAATACTTCTCCAATTTTTCAATGAAATTGAAATTGAAAGTTCACTACCAAACTCTTTCTATGAAGCCGTCATAATCCTCATCCCAAAACCAGGCAGGAACTTATCAAAAAAAGAGAATTACAGACCCAGTTCTTTGATGAATATCGATGCAAAACTTCTCAACAAAATTTTGACCAATTGACATCAACGACTCATCAAAAATATCATACACTATGATTCATTTCAGGGATACAAAGCTAATTCAATATACCTAAGTCAACTAATTTAATACATCATATCAACAAGAGCAAGGATAAGAACCACATGACTATCTCAATAGCTGCAGAAAAAGCTTTTGACAAGATCCAACTCCCCTTTATGATGAAAGCTCTGGAGAAAAACTAGGAATCCATGGAACATTCCTCAGTATAATAAAGGCTATGTATGACAAACCTACAGCTAGCATTATTCTTAATGGCAGTTCCTCTAAATTCAAGAACAAGACAAAGATGTCGTCTCTCTCCACTTCTCTTCAATTTAGTATTAGAATGCTAATAGGATCCAAAAAGGGAAAGATGAAGTAAAACTCTCCCTCTTTGTAGATGACATGATTTTGTATTTAAAGAACCCCATGGAGTCCACTCTCAAATTACAAGATGAGTCAAAACTTTGGCAAAGTAGCAGGGTATAAAATTAACCCTCAAAACAATACTCGATAGGAAATGTACTCATTACCTTACTCATGTATCTGTAACCCCCATGTATACTATTTTTACAATAAAAAACATTTAAAAAAGCAATAGTTTTTCTGTATGCCAAAACTGAGAAGAAGGTATCTGAAATCAGGAAAGCAATCCTTTTGTGATGTCCCGCAAAATACCTAGGAGTTAACTAGGAGGTAACAATGCTTGATAAGAAATGTACTCATTACCTTCCTCATGTAACTGTAACCCCTCTGTACAGTATTTTTACAATAAAAACTTATTTAAAATAAAATAAAATAAAGAAGTGAAGGACCTCTATGATGGAAACTTAAAAAACCCGAAAAAGGAAATTAAAGCAGAACTAAGGAAGTGGAAAACCTCCCAATTTCCTGGATCGGGAAGATTAACCTCATGAAATAGCAATACTGCCAAAGGCTATTGACAAATTCAATGCAATACCTATCAATATTCCAACCTCATTCTTCAATGAAATAGAAGAAGCAACCCCAAAATTTATATGCAACACTAAAAGACCCCGAAGAGCAAAAACAATCCTTAGCAGAAAGAACAGTGCTGAAGGAATATCAATATCAAACTTCAAATTCTACTACAAAGCCAGAGTAATCAAAACAGCTTGTTACTGGCACAAGAACAGACCTGAGGACCAATAGCATAGAACTAAAGACCCAGAAATAAACCTAAAGACCTATAGCCACCTAATCTTTGATAAGGGAGCTAAAAAAGTAGAATGGAAGAAACAAAGCCTCTTCAGTAAGTGTGCTGGTAAACTTGGTTAAACACTGGTAGAAAACTAAAGCTAGCCTTTATATATCACCGTACACCAGAATCAAATCCAAATGGATTAAAGACGTCAAAGTCGAAGCAGACATCCTGAAAACATTACAGGAAGGAATAGGAGAAATCCTAGGGCTCCTTGGCACAGGC